TGGATGGATGGATGGATGAGTGTGTGGATGGATGGATGGATGGTTGGGTGGATGGATGGATGGATGAGTGGGTGGATGGATGGATGGATGAGTGGATGGATGAGAAGATAAATAGGCAGATGAATGGATGGCCAGGCAGGTGAATGGGTGAATGAATTGAATGGATGGGTGAATGGATGCGTAGACACGTGGATGACCAAACTTCCCCTCCATGCTTCACTTCACCTGGAAGTGAATAAGGAGACTGCTATTGTCAATTTCACAAGTCTGTCCATTCAGGAACAGACCCTCAAGGAAGCCTCTGGAGAACTCACCATTTCCGCAGGAGAGGTGGGAGTGAGGTAGAACTCCTTCAGGTGCAGGAAGAAGCCTTCCAGTTGTCCAATCAGCAAGAGTAAGAGGACCCCGTCTGCAAACTGCAAAGGAGAAGCACGGGGGGCAGAGGCCGCACGGGTCCCCGCGCCTCCTTCGGCGGGCAGAGTGGCGCTGCAGGAGGCTGCCTTTCTGCGACTCAAGGATGACACCCCCGACCTTGCCGCGTGTTGTAAACATGGGTGGCGGCAGGGAGGAAGCAGTTATGCACTGCCTGGCGCAAAGCACACGCCCAATAAAATAAGCTGTCTTTCCATTAGCTGGGAAATAGCCGGATGTTGCCTTTGAAACCACACCCCGCTCCGCGAGCAACAGAGGCACAGGAGAAAACGGAGTCGAGCGTAACATCATTCCACAGCACGGTGGGCTCGTGTCGCTGGCCGCCACATTAATATTTCCGTCTGTGCTGTCTGTACGCTCAGGGACAAAGCGTCGCCCCGCCACCCGCATATCGTAAGCTCATATCAACCTACTCAATCTCTTCAAAGATACCAGACGCAAGACTGGATGTTGGAGGGAAAACCGCCACTCGAGCTCGACGTCCTTAACAGAATTCCCTCCTAAGAGGTCTGTTTCGCCGTTATGAGTTTGGCCTGAAATCTTTCCTGCTGATGTGCCCCCGTGATATCCCTGAAATACCAGAGGCTTCGACTACCCCTTTGTCCGACAGTCTCTACGCATCATCGTCACCCAAGCCAATATTTTCCAAGCGCCATGATTTCATCGAGGAAGAGAGAGATAAAACAGGTGAAGTGGAAGTCCACAGGATCATCCTGTTCGCACCCACATGAACGACACCGAAACCCCCAATTCGTCGTCTACTGCGTGTCCACAGCGTGTCAGGGAGCGGAGTCAACTCCGGGGGCTGCTTGTCTTGTACATTTACTCCCAGGTCCACGAGGCTCGTATCCTTACCCTCGTTTTAAAAGAAGAGGGGTCCGAGGTCCACAGAAGTCCGAACCAAGGCCGTGCAGACAATGTGGAGGAGGTGTCCTTGAAGCCCAGAGGCCACACGTGTCCACCTGGCTTCCGAGCCTCGTATGTCCGCCCTGCCACGTCACCGTGCCACATGACACACAGGCTTCTCACGTGGCCACCATGTGACGCGGTGATGAGGACACACTGTGGCCTCGGCACCCTGGGTTCGAATCCCAGGTCTTCTGCTCTATCACTGTGTGACCTTGGGTGAGTTAATTAACATCTCTGTGTCTGAGCGTCCTCCTGTATAAAACGGGGCAGTATCTGTTCCCACCTCGGGGACTGTCAGGGGGAGTCAATGAGTTCGTAGGTATAAAGCACTTTGCGCAGAGCCTGGCACATAGTGAGGGCTTTACTGGCTTTAGAAACCAGGCACGGGAGCAGATCACACCCCATCCGTCTCTGGCTAACGTCAGGGTGTGTCTGAGAAGTCAGCACGTCTGGCTGAAGTCACCACAAGTCATTCGGTCCACCAGGGACCAGACCTGACTTCCGCCTCCCTCCCCCACCGCCACCGTGGCGCGTGAGCAGAACCCGGGTGGCCCAGCGCCGACCCCGCCACGGCAGGTTGATGTGTCTGGTGTCCAGGGGGCTCCATCACCACCAGAAGGCCCCGCGCCGGCGATCAGCCCGTCGGCTTCCCTGCTCCCCTCCGTGCTGAGGGAGTATCGCAGGTGCACAGCATCCTCACGGAAAACCGTGGCCCCCCGCAGAATGCCGATGCCGACCGTGCAAGACCCGGCTCCTGCCCCACGCGGGGACTAGGTGTAGGTCAGCCCCGGGGGGCCGAGCAACCGGGGGGCCCACAGATCCAGGGCTGTGGTGGAACCTAAGACAACGCCCGGCAGGTAGCTCAAAGCCGCGAGCAGACGCAATCACACCAGGAGAGCTCCCACGGCATAGATGAGCCCCTGCGTAAAACGCACCCACGGTCCCTGCCTCACGAGATCCCCACGGTGTCCCTGGTGGGTGAGGCTGCCTACCTACCAGCTACGTCCGCCATCGGAGAGGCGCCAGGTCTCCAAGAGGTGACACATCACAGGCCCCACGGGGGCGGATCGAGGCTCCCCGTGCCCCGCAGGACCCTCTTCCCCGCCTGCACCCCGTGACCTTTCCCTACCCGGGGACCCTGCACCTGAGACCCTACCTGGGTGTCCAGATTCTGCACAGACAGGCCCAGGCGATCCAGCTTCTGGTTGACAAAGTTCACAATGGCCTACACAAGGAAGAGCACGGACGTCGGGCCCGGGGCTCAGGTTTTCCGCCTCCCGCTTTGGGGGGGGGGGGACAAAAAGGCCCCCGCATGGCGCCCGAAGCACAGCAGGTGAGGAGCGAGGGCCTTGCCCCTTCCCCTGCACCCCCCAGGACACCAGGCAGACGGGCGGGAGAGTGACTGGGAGCTTTGATCTCTCTTACCTCTTTCACAGCGTTCACTTTCTCCGGAGCCAGTTTAAATAATTCATCAAAGACGTCCTCTGCAGACAGATCCAATAAACGCCTCATTACGATGCTATTACCCTTGTGCCAAACAGGGACGCATTTCCATAAAAGTTTCTCAGAATACCCAGTCCGCAGAGAGATGTAGTGTCATCGCAACGGTTCTCGAATTAAAACATGGGCCTGCGTCTTTGTCCCTGCGCCCCTGGCCGTGTAGCCCAGGGGGAGTCGCCTGCCCTCTCTGGCCCTTGGTTTCCTCATCTGCACATCATGGCTGATCATACCTACTAGAAGGGGTCTTCACAAAGATGAGATTTGGTACCAGATAACGCACTTGGCTCGGTGGCTGGGCACACAGTAGGACCTTGATAAACTTCATCTTGGGGCACCCGGGTGGCTCCATCGGTTACCCATCTGAGTCTTGGCTCAGGTCATGATCTCACGGTTCGTGAGTTCGAGCCCTGCATTGGGCTCTGTGCTGACAGTTCAGAGCCTGCTTGGGATCCTCTCTCTCTCTCTCTCTCTCTCTGTCTCTCCCTCTCTCTCTGCCCTTCCCCTACTCGTGTTCTCTCTCTTTCTAAATAAATAAACAAAACTTTAAAAACAAAACAAAACAAAAAAAGGTCATCCTTTCTGCCGTGGATGCCTGTGCGTCTGCTCAGCCACCGCTCCTCCCCCTGGAAAGCTTCTCTCCTTCGTCCCCATCCCCCCACCCCCCACCCGCAGGCCCACGGAGCCCATGCAGCTGCCGTAGGTGACCGAGCAGGGCCCAGCCCCACACAGACACTTGGCCCGCGCGTCTCCTCCCCCGCATTCCTGGATTGGCAGAATGAGGGCACGCAGCCCCGCGTCGTGCCAAAGGCCAGCACCCTCAGCAGCTGAGTCACGCCTGCCTGGTTTAGGAACAAAGGGGGGCATCTTGGCAGCCCCGGGCCTCGTCCCGCCTCAGACACCCGAGTCCTCAGCCAAATGCCCTTTTCCCGCAAGCAGCCCTCCTCATATGTGCAGCCAACAATCTCCCCAGGGAAGATGGGTCCTCAGGCACCGAGTGCCCAAGCTGGCTAGAAGGATTTACCTTCAGATGCTGATGCTCAGCAGCTGTGCAACTCTGAGCAAGTCACTTCACCTCTCGGTGCCCCGGTTCTCTCATTAGTGAAAGGGAAAAGGTAGCACCAGATAGCATCGCGCACCAGGAATCATGGTGGAGACACCAGTCCCTTCGGACCCCGTGGCCTGGGTGGCCAGGGAAATCGGGTCTCTGAAGGAGCCAGGAAGCGGGGAGGCAAATGTGTGCTCGGTTGACACGAGCCAAAACAGCACGAATGTGCTAGACGGGGTGGTGGGGAGGCCCGGCTCCTTTCCCCTCACCATGTGACCCACCCTCATGCTGCCCCCTGACAAACACTGCCCCCCGAGCAACACCCCGTGTCCTCATGCTGCCCTGCACACACACACACACACACACACACACACACACACACACGTTGGCCAGCCTCCCTGCACCTCCCTTTCCCTTCCTTCTCCCACTCATCTTCCTTCAGCCTGTTCTCAGAAGCCCCTCAAAGGTCATTATTTCCACCTTTGCAGGTGAAGCACCCCTCATGGAACCCCCTGCCCATACAGATCTGTGTTCTAAGTGGGGAGGGTTCAGGGAGGAAAATCACGTTAGGATGGATGGATGGTGGATGGACTGGTGGGCGTGTGTGGGGACAGATGGATTGGTGGGTGGGTGGACGGATGGGTAATTTGGTGGGTGGGTGGGTGGGTGGGTGGATGATGTGGACTGGTGTATGGATGGCCAAATAGATTGGTGGATAGATGGATGGATTGGTGAATGGACGGATGGATGAATAGATTGGTGGTTGGGTGGGTGGATGGACACATGGATTGGTGAATGGATGGATGGATGGATGGATGGATGGATGGATGGATTGGTGGGTGGGTAGGTGGATGGATGGATGGATGGATGGATGGATGGATGGATTGGTGGTTGGGTGGGTGGATGGCCAGATGGATTGGTGG